TAATTGCTCCGATTTTAAAACTTTAAAGCATGGCATTAGTATTCCATGAACAGTTTTTTGTAGGCAAGCCTATACGATTATTTTTGTAATTAAATTATCTCTCTTCTGATATCAGTTTTTATTGGTTGATATATAGGTGTATATTGACTTACCTGTAAATACCTGCTTGCCAGGTAGCCATGAACAAAAATCGCTTCTGCAAGCTCTTAAAAGAAGTTATTCGTTTCTGAAGAGTTATAGAAAAATTTATATAAAATTAAAAAAAAGTAAATTTTCAATTTCTTCTCTCACTTACTGCTCACACCTCCACTTACTTATTGTGCCCGCGTACTCCCCTACTCACCGTCTACTTCCCTGTTCTACTCTGCTTATCTTGTGCTGCAACTCTACCCCGGCTGTTCTCACTACTCTATCAATTAGAAAATCTTTCCAATATAAATTTGTTTTTCATTTTTTATATTTTGTTTTATTTTTAACTTTTTTAAACTAATCGTAATAACTCTTATCTTCAAAACCCTCATTTTTTAAAATTCCTTTGGCCATTTCAAAATCAACAACCCTCTACATCCTAAAACATTTTGCATAAAATTTTTATTTTCACAAGCTTCACCACCTTACAATCATTTGAATATATGTTTACATATCTATTCTAGGGTGATTCATTTCCGCAAAGTTTTCTTTTTCGGTGCAAACTATTAATCTACATATAGAAAAAAATTATCACCAAGTTTGAGCTCTTAATATCAATTTTAAGTACTTATTATTTAAATTTAAAATTTTACCATTTAAAATGCATGTAAATCTTTTATTCCTTTTTTTATTTTTAATGCTTACCCACCTTCTACAATAATGCAATTATTCGGTTTGATGGATTTTGTGGGGAATTTCACGCTCTTCGAAATTGCTTCAGAGTTTTTTTGTGTAACTCGTACTGGTTCACCAGTAGAGTCGTCAAAGATCAGTTTTTGAAAAAACAATTTTTTTTCAATTTTTTCGAGCAAACCGCCAAAAGTAAGGAGAAAAAAGGGCTGACTCAAAAAAAAGTTATCCGACCAAAATTCAATGAATTCAGCCATTTTTATACCCGAAAATGTAAGAAATTGATAAATACTAACTCATAATGTAATTAATATTAATTTTTTCTATTAATTACCATTATATTTCCCTACACTAAGAACTTTTTTAGAATTTTTATGATTTCTCACTAAAAATGAATATAATTTCGAAGAGCGTGAAATTCTAAAAAAAATTTTTTACATGCATTTTAAATGGTAAAACTTTAAATTTGAATAGTAAGTACTTAAAATTCATATTAAGAGCTCAAACTTGGTGAGAATTTTTTTTCTATATGTAGATTAATATTTTGCTTGAGCACCGAAAAAACAAAAAAAAAATTCGGAAATGAATCACCCTAATCTATGCATTTATTTAATGTAGGCATTCCTCAGAGATGAAATAAGAAGAGTGGTGATATACTCGTAAATACATATACTTACTAGTAATTATTACAAACAAAATTTAAAATACAAGATTCACATAATCCTCTATAGAATATAAAGTACATTTTTAAAAACTTTTCGAGTTTATTCTTAAATGAAATCTTTGTTTACCAGCTTTTTTCTTCGGAATTTAATTGTATAAAATAACTAGGTTCTATACTCAGGGTTAGTACTAGCACGTCACGAAGCTTTGATCGAAGTATCCATCAACAATGTAGTCACCTTAAGATGGATCAAAGGTCACGCCACATCGAATGGTAACCGTCTTGTTGATTCACTAGCAAGAAGGTAGCCAACCAAATACTTTTTGGACCAGGCCCTTCTATTGGACTGATAATATCGGTAGTGACAGACCTAATTTAAGGAAAGATGAGATGCAGCAAGAAGCTGTAGAGTTAGTTGCCAGGGATCTTTCAAGTTATCCTGACAAGACTATAGCAAAAAAATATTTGACTATAACTAGACAAAATCCACGCCTGATCACAGGCATTCTGACTGGTCATTGCCATGTACGGAAGCATTTCCGTAGCATAAAGTTTTTAGAATCCGCACTCTGCAGGGGGTGCAAACAAGAATATAAGATCATCGAGCAGATCCTCTACGATTGTTCTCATTTGTGTTCGGCGAGAATTTGCTAACACCGACCGATATAAGAGAAGCTAAGTCAATTACATCAAATATGTAGGCCAGCTCACGAGCAAGAAGGTGACTATTAACTTAGGAGAATGCACAATGGGCCTAGTAATGCCTAAGTGCCTTGGGGTAACTCACCTTTCACATATAAGAGATACATATAGGCCCTCTAAATTTGGGAGTTTCTTACTTAAATTTAATCTAGAAAATTAAATTATATGAAACTTTTGTTCCAAATATATGAAAATTTTTATTTTGTTTAAAATTTAAGTCTCTAAAAACATAAATTTCTAAAACATTCAACGAAGCTAGAGGCAGAATACTTGGATAATTTGGATAATAAATGGTCATGTTCAACACAGTCAAATGTCTTGTTCAACTCCCAAAAGAAATCGTAGCAGGGCATTCACTATTCTCCAAATATTGAATTATTTTTTTGTGAAAAGGAAATAACTCAGTTGATGTTGATTTTTTGGATCTGAAACCGTGTTGACATGACTTTCCCAAATATATTGAGTACGGCCATCTATTTAAAAAGTATTTAAAATATCAATTAATGATAAAACTTATTTAAAACATCTTTTCATACCTTCATTGCCAACGAAAATAGTGAAAAATTTAAATTTAACACTTTTCTTCAAATTTTTCCATACGCCTCCATTTAAGAGAAATTATTTATAGTACAAAAATTATGCAGAATAACTTCAAAAAAAACTTTTATAATTTTCTTCTATTACATTAAGTGCAAATCTTTTCACCTCTGAGTAAAGTTACATGTAGGTTTACTTGACAGATTAACAAACAATAGCCCTATAGTTTAATCAGCAAGTAGTTACTTTCAACTATACTCAGAGGTGAATAGACTGACCCTAAATAATATAAATATACCTTAAATTTAAAAAATTACTCCTATAAAGTACCCCCAGATGCTCTGACTATGCCCAAAATCTAAAGAGCTCACCACAACATGTATTAAAGTTTAAAATATGGGTATTTTTGTCTTTATTCGTCTATGAATTATCGAGGGTACAGACA